CTGGTGTTAAAGAACAGGTGTGTATAATTAGGCTCTCAACTCTACCTTCAGGTAAAAAGCCAGGAAAATAAGTAGCCAACAGCTCTGGTATAATATGGCTGATTTCATGCACATTTGGGAATATGAGTGCCAAAGTACACTTTAATGTGCTCATTTATCTGTTTTACATGCTAGAAAATATCAAGGCTAAAAGATTAAAAAGCATCTAAGGGCAGCTATATTCAGATAGGTCAAACAAATATGTTCTTAGAAATGATATGGTATAGGCACTATGTGAGAATCTGAATTGGCTAATTAAGCTCATCTTCTTATTTCCCTGTCAATGCGCACTTTCCTTAACGCATATTTTTGAGTTTTTAACTCAGTAAGTATTTTTACAACTTTTTTCAAATTGATCCTAACATTATCAAGATTAACTGCACAAAATATTTTAATCTTCTTAGTAAAATAAATTCAAACCATTCAAAGTCGTCTGAATTTTGAAAAATGGCTCTTGGGCACAATGAGATACTGAAGTGGTTCACTGGGGAGAAGAGAGACTTTCACAGATTTTAGTTCTTGTTGTTAATTCACATTTAACAGTAGACACTTACTTTGGATCCTGTTGTGATCAAGGTGAAGATGCTCAAGTTGAGCACTGATAGGTGGAATTTTAGTGAGCTGGTTGTATGACAGCTGTAGGTCTAAAATAGATGAAACATTAAACACATTTGGGGGAATACCATCATCAGATAATTTATTGTAGTTCAGTCTAAGGAAAGTCACTTTGGGTATCGCATTAAAATAGTTTTCTGGTATCACTTCAATAGAATTGTTGTCTAAAAACAGCTGCATCGTATTAGCTGGAAGGCTTAATGGCATTTTCTTGAGAGAATTTTTTGCTATGTTGAGTTGCATGAGACTGCTGAGTCCCTGGAAGGTGTCACTTTGAAGAGCACTGTCCAACAGCATGTTGTGGTGCAGATCTAGCAGTGTGAGGTTTTCCAGGTTGCTAAAGACTCCCTCAGGAATCCGGGAGATGTTGTTTCTAGCCAGTCTCAGCTGCTCCAGGCTTGTTGGTAAAGGAGCAGGCACCTCCTCCAATTCATTATCTTCCAGGAACAAGTAAAGCAACCTCTTCAATTTGCTCAGTGCACCATTTTCAATCCCCTTATTGGTGATCTTGTTTTTGTTTAAATTTATCCATCTCAGATAAGTGGCATTTACAAAAGGCTTCTCAGAAATTGTTTCAATAAAGTTGTTTTGAAGATAGAGGTACCAAATTCTTGCTGGGATTGCAGGTATTTCTTTAAGTCCCTTGTTATCACAGTATAAAGCATTAGGAAAACCAGGAGGGCAGAAGCATTCTTTTGGACATTCGAAGGTGAAGTAAGGCCAGTCCTCAGGATCTGTCACATCATAGGCTTGTCTCACAGTTCGAGTCCACACAGTATTGGTCAGGAACAATAGCAAAAGGCTGGAATAGATGCTTACTGCCATTGTTTCCTTAGAAAGGGAGAAAAGCAATTAGCTGACTCCAGTTAAAGTATCCCTTAACAATATCCTAGATATATTTAACTTAATAATTAAATAATTTTATTTTGTTTTTGTTTTTTCCCTTAGGAAAGGACCACGTTCTGCCATCTGTGACATCACTTTATAGTCATATAAAGGTATCAAATACTAAGATTTTTCAGCTTTGAACAATATACTTGTGATTCAGGTTAAATGTCATGCTGCTAACACATTAAATTGGGTGTTCAGTCATTTCAAAGAACCTGGAAATACTGACCGTTTTCTGATATTAAATCATGAGTTCTATAATTCTGAAAAAAGTTATATTGGATGCCTTTACCGAATCATTTTTGTGCAAACCAATAGTTTGAATATCACAATGTGTAAAGAGAACTACACATTCTAATATGTATTCCTCCCTTAGTCATATGGTTTTACTTTTTTCTTCCTAAATTATAAGGACATATGGATCAAATTTTCCAGGGCCTTTTCTCGTCACACACGAGAAAGATCAAAAAGCATTTAACAGCTGTTTGTTGGGCATGTTCCTAAAAAGTCTAGAAAAAAACCTACTTGACTAATTCATTCCCCCCAGTTCCCCATCTCAAATTATTGGATTTCTTCTTTAAAAAGCACTAAAAATTACTTAAAGAATAAACCCTAGATCTCAGGTTTTACTGTGTTTCATAAAACATGCATTTTCATTCATTTGGTACCCAGTTCACATTTATATTTGTTCACTTTAAGTTAAGCATTTGCCATTATTAGACGACGAAAGAGACATCAACTGATCATGTATTCCTCCAGACAATGCAGGAGTAGCATGGCAACAGTGCTTCATAAACTCTGTTGTTTTATTCGCTTTTTGATAGAGTGGAGAGCATTTTACATCCAGAGGTCAATAGTACAGATGTGTTGTGAGATACAGAAAGTTTACTGCCAAAACTAAAAATCATATTAAAAATATCCTGATACCATATATTCAAGAGTTAAATGACTGATTTTGTTATTAATTCTTTACAAAATGTGGTAATTTCTTGATATTGGTTATTTTCATTTGTGTAATTAGCAAGTGCATTATCCCACAGATCTGCTAGCCTCAGAAATTGTTGGATATTGGGAAACATTCCAAAAAGTACAAATAAAAGATGTCTTGGGAATGTCATGTTTGATTTACACAATGAAATCACATCCCACATTACATAAATATCCACACCCTTAACATCAGTTTGTAAAGTAATACAAAATAATTTACCTTGCTAGTCAAGTTAGTGGAAGTATCTGGAGCTTGTTAGAAATCTCTTTTAAAATTAAACCTTTGGTTGCTACCACTTATTCTGTCCTCCTGAGATTAGTAGCATATAAAGCTGAAAGTTCACATCAGCATCTCCTGACATATTACCATATTATACCCTATTAGCTATTGCATCTAACTTGACAATGCTTCAGAATCTAGCCTTACCTCAGCTTTCTTGGATCTTGTCCTCTTTCTATTGGCCTCTGTTGTTAGACTGTAATCGTTTGAGGCAGGCTACATGCCGTGTTTTATGAATACAGCCTAATATATACGCATCAGTGACTACAGCTTTTAACCCCTAAAATAACTAAGGAACCTCAGCACCTAGACACAAAAATACAGGAAATCCTGTCTTTAAAGTCAAGCAGTCACAGTATTAAAGGCATTTTCACTCAATTTATTCCCAGATTTTAACAGATGACAATGATTGATCTAGATGAAATAGGTAACATAAAATACACCTTTTTTCAATCACTGTATTATGTGAAGTAACATTTTGTAAAAAAAGTTTGCTTACATCATAATTCATTTTCATATCTATGTTGGGGCACAAAAAATTAAAACCAGTTGGTACGGAAATCTTTTATTTGATTTTGATGTAAAACAGATGCAGGGATGCCCTTTAAATATATAATTCTTGATTAGTGGAAATAGATCATGAGACCATTTGCTAAGCAATTTTTAATAATATGTATTTTAATTTCTGTCAGAATTAGGTGATGTATTTTGATACTCATTTAATAAAGAGATTTTTGTGCACTTTTCTACAGAGACAATACACTCTTCAGTGCCTCTTGCTGTGAGGTCCATTTTTAATAATTATTGCACCAACAAAACATCCTGTGTTTAATTGGTTTTAAACAAGTATTTTCCATCCATTTTACTACCCAAGTCATAAACTCATGCTTCTTACACTGCATTTTGGGGTTGGGGGGAGGAGATTTCAGTTTAGATTCAAGGTAAGAGTTTAATTAAAGGAAAATCATCCATATTCTAAAATAATACAGACACATGTTAAAAAGAGAAGTTTACATAAAATACCGCTAACTTAATATGCATTTTACTATCTATGTAGATCTTGATATACAGGGGTCTCACGATTGATGCAGTACCATTTAGGTTTACTCTTGCCTTATTTGATTGAATAAAACCTTATAAATAAATATTTTATAATCCTGAATAATTGACTTCCCAGATACAGCAGGAGACAAAAAAGTCTAACAGCGTTTTAGCGTAACAGCTTCATAATATAATATTATCACCTTAGCTCTTTCATTTGTATGTTCATTTATTTGTTTGCTTGTTCATTTGTTCTTTCAAAAAGTGCTCAATTCTCATTGCCTCCATTAAGGCTTAAATGCAACACAAAGTTGAGCATATTTTAGACTATATTTCAGCAAAGAAATTGAATGTATTTATGCAATACCCCTTCTTGTTCAGTAAAGCACTTAAGCACTTGCTGAAGTCCTATTATTATCATCAGAATTGAAACATTCAGTTTTCATGAAGCACATGCTTAAGTGCTTCGCTATATCAAGGGTTCAAATCTCTAAGAGACTTTAGTTATTTATAGATTATTAATTAATAGTTATTCACAAAGCTGAATTTTTATACAACATGTATATTTTAAAAGACTAAATCAACTCAAAGTAATATTTTAATTCGAGATCAAAAATAAAGCCTGTAATATTGAATAGAAGTGATGAATAAGGTTGCAAAAATTAGATCTATCATGCTATTCCCATCCAAGCCAGAATTCAGAACAGTCCCTTAGGCACCTATACTAGCAATACCTTATTATTAGGCTTCTTGCTCCAGAAGCTCATTCAGCTGGAGCAGTTCAGGTACCTAAGATCCTTATATAGCCTTTGGAGGGACTTTGGTGGTATCTATGAATAATTCAGGTTTAGGCATCTAGGTACAGAGAATGGGAACTAGTACGTGCCTTGAAAGGGCAATTCAGTCTTGGCAGCAAGGATTAAAACCAGGATTCCTCTTTCCTGGGGATGGGGTGCCAAAATCCTTAGGCTAAATTCACAATCCCATTTGATCGCTCTTAGAATTACTTATGCATTTTATATTAAACAGATATTCATTTAAAAACAAGAAATAATGCTAAACAAAGGGACGAAAACCCCAAATTACCCTTCTCCAGTGGGTGCCACAAACAGCCTATAGAAGGAGACTCCATCTGGCTTGCTTTCCTTCTGGTCATATGTCTTGTATTATTATCTTTATATAGCCCCAAGCTCAAAAGGAGGAGGTGGAGAATGTCTCATTCAGCCTGCTGCTATAGCCTGGTGGTTCGGGCATCCTCCTTGGAAGTGGAAGATGTGGGTAAGAATAGGCCTAGAATGTAGGATTCTTATTTCCTGGACAGGTTCTCTAGGTATTAGGCTACCAGGCTAATGTGGGCACCACCACCACCATCGCTATCAGCTTTAAACTGAGTTAAGTACTGTCTATATGAATTAAGAATGAGCTCTGTGGACCTACCAGAGCAGGAGAACAGGTCTGCTGATTTAAATTGTTCTTTGTTAATTAAGCAGCAAAACTCTACCAAAGACCTAGTTAGGCATCTAGGCTGCCTATACACATGCTCAGGATTGATGGGTGGGGTGTTTTAGTTAAAGCAGTTCCTGGAGAGCTGCTCTAATGAAAATGGCTCACCATCACATGTATTAAGCCCCCACATTTTTAAATGGCTGTGGGATGCTTTATCTAAAGCTCATTCAATGAGCGTTAGAATGCTGGAATGTACTAATTAGAACATGAGGCAGACTTAGTTAATTGAGTCTCAATTAATCAAGTCTCAATTAATCAAATCTGCTTTGATTCATTCTAATTAGAATGTGAATGGCCATATATATAGGCAACCCTAAAGAGTCAATCTGAATCCTGGCTGTAGTCCTTGAATCATTTACTCTGATATCTGAGCAGTGGTAATATGGTAGCTTTCGTCTATAATTGTTAAAAATGAAAAATAAGAGTGTTTGACAGAGTCAGCTGGTAGTTAGAAACATAGTTGGATGTATTTTAAAATATAATTTCATGATGGATTGCTTATGATTTTGGACTATTCACCTTGAAATCAATATTCATCATCATTGCAAAAGCTGGCCTGTGCAACATTTTGAATTTTGCCTTCAAGTCAAGTCACAAATTTTCTTCATGCGTTGTTGGTTTTTCCCTATCTCATCTACTATTTATTATTTAAATAGGCCAATATATATAGAATGCTAAAAATGCAATAACTAGCTTTAAAAAGTGGTTAATTATTTGTGATGTCTTCATTGTTTAGTCTTCTTCACAAAACATTTTGAAGAGGCCTGATTTTTGGAGTGGACACTTGGAATTTGTGAAAATCACACCTCTTTAAGATGTTTCAAATGAAGCCACCACATGTCAAAGGATGCCAAATCTTTGCCACTCATGATAAACATAGTTACTTATACAAAAGAATAACAGCAGTAAGAATACATGAGGAGTTTGCATGGAGTTAAAGAAAAGCAAGGACTGAAATTATAAAGATCTTCTGAATTCTCTGTTCAGTAATAAAACCCATCCCAAGAACTGTATGCCTATGTCAGTTTTTGCTCCAATTTTTTTAGAGAGATGAACTGCCCCTTTGTGTGTTGTTATCCAGTATAACATATAGAGAATTCAGACCTAATCAATGAAAGATTAAGGAAAAATCAGCCCAAGACAGGACAGCTTTCTCACAGCTTTGCTTGGGCATATGTTGCTGTCTTCATCTCCCTTAACAGAGTTGCATGCAGGTACATATGCCAAATGCTTGAGTCACTGTAGGACATGAAGAACTGAGACTACATTCAGGACTAGCTGCCCGTGGGGGATGAGAGAGCTGAAATGAGATACTTCTTTCAGTCTTAGCTGCGAGGCCTCT